GTTTTTCTCCGGTACCGAACTCACGACCTTGCGCTTGCCAGGCAGGTGCTTTGCCGCTGAGCTAAATCCCCAGCCCCTTAAAAAAATTTTTTTTTATTTGAGACAAGGTCTCACTATGCAGTTCAGACCGACCTTGAACTCCCTCTGTAGCCTCGGCTGGGCTCAAACTCACCTCGATCCTTCTACCATGGCTGGGATTTCAGGCATGCATCACTGTGTCAGGCTAGACATTTTAATACTGATATCACAAATATAAAAATGTCCAAAAGAATTCACATTAGCATTGTTTTTAAAGGTAAAAAATAAGAAATAATCTAAATGACTAGTGATAAGGAATTAATTAAACTACAGCCTGGCCATTAAGTGAAATATGGTACAGTCATTATAAAGCATGAGAACTCTATGAATACTAACACAAAAAGTTTTTTATATATTGTCATCTAAAAAGAAGTTACAGGGCTGGGGATGTAGCTCAGCAATAATGTGCTTGCCTGGTATATGTGAGGTCATGGGTTTGATTCTCAGTACCTCAAAACAAAAGTAAAAACAAGTCATAGAATAGTATACAGAGTACAACCTCATTTTGGGGTTAAAATATACATACACCCATGTTAGACCATGTGAAAAAAGATCTGAATAAAGATGCATAACAATCTACTGACAAGGATCTTTAGAATTATGCAAAACTATGTGTATTTTACATTAAAGTACGTTACAAACAATAAAAAGCACAGATCTTAATGGTTTAGTTTGATGAGTATTGACAATTGTATAGATCTGTGTATCTAACCAGCCACAAGAAGATACAGGACATCTCTACTCTCCTGAAATTGTACTTTCAGGAACTGTAAGGACCTATAACTAACAGTTATACATTTCATTGTTATTTGAATATGGGTTACAAAATTACTTCTTTCACCAGAAAAGAAAACTGTATTTACTTTTGTTACATAATAAGCTAAAAAAAATTTAGGCCAGGTGTGGTGGTGTGTGCCTAAAACCCCAGCACTTGGAAGGCTGAGGCAGGAGGATTGCTGTAAGTTTGAGGCCAGCCTATGCTACACAGTGAGTTCAAGGCCAGTATGAACTACATAGTGACACCCTATCTCAAAAAAACAAAAAAAGTTTAAAAATAATACAGCTATACACACAAAAATCCTTATTTTTTGGTGGTACTGGAAATTGAACCCAGATCCTCTGCATTGAGCTACATTCCCAGCCTGTTTTTATTTTTGATTTCTGAAACAGGGTCTCAGTTGCCCAGGCTGGGTTTGAATCTGCAATCCTCTGGCCTCATGTTCCCAGAGTCTGGGATCACAGGTTTGCACTCCTGCATCTGGCTAACGGTGTAGGTTTTTAAAAGCTGGATCCTAAAAAACAGAACATTTCAAAAAATGTAAACAACAAAACTCCTTTCTCCTAAGTCTTAGGCCTCAACCTAACCCAAGTTCTCTATAAACAGATCGTTGTAATACTCAAGAATGTGTCAGAAAGCAAGCATATGAACATGAAACTCACCTCATTGGAAGACAATGGCTGAGTGAAGGGGGCATCAGAGGAAGTAGTAACCTCGCTCATCCGAAGCATCGACCGCACAATCTCGCTGCTTGTCTGGGGTTGAAAAGTAATAGGAATTCAGAATTCACCATGCTGTTTTCAGCTCTTGCCAATGGCTAATAGCCATGGCAACAAACTGAATGTCTTCATTTCCTGATGCTCACTGACAAACCAACTGAAGTACTACCTGGTCCATCCTGTTTGCAACTGCACTCACAATGGCTTGGTCACGGAAGTGTTGGTGGAATCTGTCAAGGTTGGCCTGCCAATAAATACCATCATCTGGGATGGGCTGAAAAAGAGAAAAATATCAGAGAGAAACATTTAAATATAGTACAAGGTTTTCTGGTGAGGAGCTTGGATTTAACTGTCTACCGTTTCTTTTCTTTTTTTTTTTTTTTT